GGCGGGCCCTGGTTCCCTGAGACGAGAGATCGGAGCTGGGGGACACAGGCAGGGGGCTGGGACGTGCACGCGCTGCCAGAGTTCGTGCTGCACCGAGCGGCTGATCTCGGGGCACCCTCCTTACGAGTCCAGGCAGCCTCCGCCGCCGCGTACCCCGAGACAGCGCACCCCGCCTTCCCCAGCGGCAGGAAGTTGGCGCCGAGGAGAAGGCGGAATCCGAGCGATTTCGGCTGGAGCTTCTGGACGCGGGACGGGGTGCCGAGGGACCGGGGTTGCGGGGCGTGCGTTTTCGGGAGGGGTGCAGCACCCCTCCCGGCTGGCTTTGGCAGATCGGGGAAAGGCGCTGTGGCGCTGCAGACTCTGCAAGAGGCAGGGCCCCCGGGGAGGGTAGCCCCCCGCCGCTTGCGCGTCTGGGCGTCTGCCTCAGTTTCCCCCACTTGTTCGCCTCTTCCCCTGAATGTCCCTGCCGGGGCGTGGCTTTGCTCGGGAAGAAAAGCGAGAGTGACGGCGTGGCCCCGGCGCTGGCTCTTTCCCCTCCTCCGGGAGATGGGGCGTGGGTGAGGGCGCGCGTGGCGCCGACCGTGCACGGCCCTGGGTCCCGCAAAGCGACAGCAGCTCGCCCCCTTCTCCGGCACGGGTTGACTCACCCGGGGATTTCCACTCCCTCCCCCGTCTCTGCGATTGTCAGACGCTCCAGGCGCCACGCGCTGAGCCCACGGTGCCCCCGCGTGGGACTCGCCGTGCCGCTAAGATCGACCCCCTTCCCAAGGCCTCTGGGCATTTCCAGACGGAGCCCCCGGTTGGGACGGAGAGGGATCCCGCCAGTCCCACTTGGAGGAGGCGTGGGGGTCCCGCGCGTGTGGCCGTCGCGGGAGAGAGGAGGTGCGGCCTCGGCGAGTGTGGATACCGCGCATTCTTCGGCCAGATAAGGAGGCCGGGAGCCCGGCTGGGCGGGGGCGGGTCCTACTCCGTCTCCCCGGAGACAGCGCTGGGCTTCCCTGGGG